GAACATCGACAAACAGTTGCATAAAATTGTCTACTAAAGGAGAATTTAAAGGCGTGGCAGGGAAATTTGTGAGGTACTAGGCATTTAATTTATTAGATTCACTAAGGGTTTCGTTTTTAGTTGCCGACTAAACCCGTGCCTGTACTTCGATTAACGATGGTAAGAAAAATAAGAAATAGGATTTAATGGAATTTTGCCGATTATATTTTATTATGAATGTTCACTTACTTTGCGAACAAACAATTCCAGGATTGCTCCATGTTTTCGTGAGAGGATCACAATAAGACTCCTTACCGCCACGGACATAGCCATACCCAGGGAGACACGAGTAGATAGCGATCGGGACACCTCGGGACTTATCAATTGTGAAAGTGGCTGTTGTCACTGATATCGGTGATCCAGCGCAAAATTCTGTAAGATAAATCAACAGTGTGCAAAACTAATTGTAACGATTAAATTAGTGTCTCCATTTATAGCAAACACAAACGGCAGCATTTTATATACATATATATTGTTTTGCGGGTCTGGATCGATGTCATTAAATTGTACTAAAATCGATAAAAAAAAATACAAAAGGAAGAAGAGAGATTGTTAGATTACCTACTTGCTTTGCATCAGAATTGTGTAACTACCGCGAAACCTGCAGTAAGGACCGCATGTCTATAATGACCATCTAAAAAGTACCCTCATGATATCACCATATTTAGCAAGAAAATGCAACAAAGCTGCTGGGCACCTGATCTTTACATGAAAATCACTTACGTACAGCCAATAACCAAGAGGAACTATTGCACACTCGAATTTACTCTTCGAATATTAATGGCATTTAATTTTAACCTTCAGACTATTCTGTCCAACGCTGACTATCCTCATATAGTTAAGCTTAGTTAAGTTTATTCCGGTACAGGATTTGAACCTCTTCACCGGACACAAAATCATACAGTACCTAATAATACTAATGATGTAAACAAAATATACAACGTTATATATATAGTATAGACAGTTAAGTTCTGTTAAATTTTTATCAAAGTTCATATTAAAAGTTCGGCTCTGTATTTATTAATCAGGTCTTGGTTTTCCAAAAATTTGTCTAGTCTATTTTTAAATCAGTTTGTAGTTGGAGCAGATATCACATATTCTGGTAGATTGTTCCATATGAGTGATGCTCTCACAGTGAAAGAGTTCCATCTTAATGATGAGGTTGCCCTTTGTGGAAACAGTTTTTTTGAATTTCCTCTTTCACCGTGTTTTATGGCCACATCTGACCATACTTTTATAGAAGTACAGCATTCCTTGTCATATGCGCCACTGATCATCTTATAAACTTCAATCATGTCCCCAAGCAGCATACGCCTGTATGATAATGTAAGTAGATTTCATATGATATTTTTTGTAGTCCAGGTAAGCATCTGGTCGCTCAGCGTTGGGCAATTAAATCAATATGCTTGTATTTATATGGATACCAGACTGCACTTGCATAATCAAGTTGCAACTGGCCAAGACAATGCTGCATAAATAAGTGTCTGTCCATAAAATAAAAGGTTCTTCTTAGCATGGCAAACATTGGGTTGGCTTTCTTCACTTTCTCACTTGTATGATGTTCAAAACTAAAGTCTGGCTCTATTATTACTCCAATATCCTTTAACTAGTTGTTGTTAATAGTTATTTACCATTACGTTTATGTTTGACATGCCAACTCTCTAGTGTTCCCACGGACTTTCCGATGTGCATGTGTTTGTACTTATCTGAGTGCATTTTCATTAGCCAATCCTCACTCCACTTGCACATGTTATCCAGGTCTCGTTGAAATATCTTTGAATCTTCATTCTTGGTTATTACTTTGAAAACTTTAAACTTTAGTATCGTCTGTATGGAAGAAGAATATGGCGCACACTTTTGTTTTTTTACGGTCTTCGTGTAGGTATCCGGAGGATAGCGACTGGTTGAAGAGTTTTGTCATTGGTCTGGTAATAGAATATTGGCAGTGTTTTTCAAGTATGCTGGGTGTAGTTCATCAAGTCCTGGTCACTTCTCTAGTTTTAAGCTGGAAAGATATCTTGTACTTGATGTTCATGCATTTTGAGGGTATCATTTCCGCCTTGACCTTTTTATTTTGAGTTCTTGGTATGTTTGCACTTCCTTCTGTTACAAACACACTACAAAAAACTTCATGAGAACATTTGGATTTTTCCGGTAACCTCCTTGTTTCTTGTTTTCCAGTTTACTATACAGGTCGCCAACACTAGTTTTAAATTTGAACTTAGAATTGATGTATCTCCAAATAGCCTTTTGTTTTGATTTCGCTTGGATTTAGTTGCTAAGTTGTGTTAAAACTCTTTCCGAAGATTACGAGTGAGCTTTCTTACTTGGTTTCGTACCCTGTTGTATTCCTTTCCGCACTTCAGGGTCCTTATTCGTGGATGCTTTCCGAGAAAGTGAATATTTTTTCCTGATAAATTCAAGTGTAGGTTTGTCTGCTTGGAAACTGAACTTGTTGCTACTCCCAACCCGAACATATTTGGAAGGGACGTACTTATCCTCTATAACCTTTATAATCTTTTTGAAAATTTCCCAGTTTTCATTTACCCTGTTTGAGTCATTTAATAGTTTGTCCCAATTGAACTGACGGATTTCCTGATTTATTTCTGGATAGTTCGCTTTATCGTAACGTTTCTTGGTTTTTGTCCTGGCGATTGTTGGGACTTTGCATTCTTCACTGAACGATAGAACGCAGTAATCGCTTTTTTCCAAGTGGGCTAAGGTACTCAATGCTATGATGATTATCCTTACCCTGCCATCTGGTTAGGTGATCCAAGTTTCAGTATGAAGTTAAATTCTTGCGACTCTGTACTATTGCCTTGCGTATTCGAGGTGTTACAATTGATATTCGGGTGATTAAAATCTCCCATTATCAGTATATCCGAAAATCATCCTTTACTTGATGCTTCATCTGGTATTAATTGTAATTTGTTATCATTCTCTGGTGTGCCTGAATCTGACCAATAAACATGACCTACTATAAATCTCCTGTTGTTGTTTCAGTTTAATCTCTACGATCAGATACTCTTGGAAATCATTTCCCATAACTACTTTCGATACCGACAGTAGATTATTGACATAAAATATCATGCCTTCTTCTAAGTTATTGTCCACATTTCTGTTAAACAATTGATAATCAATAAGTCCTACAACGTCGAATTCCGTTGTTCTCATATTCTGAGCCTGTTTTTGGATTTTACTTCTGTTTATCACTCTTGAGTTTAGTTCTGATCATTTATTTTTTAGTCGTTCCGCATTAGTGAAGAAAACTTACAAACGCTCCTGTTGTTGATGTCTCTGGTTTTATTGCTGTTTCTTTTAAATCTGGTTGCTTTCCTTGCCTAGGGTGGACCTCTGACTTTGTTCACATACTCTGATGTGTTGATACCCTGCATGGTTTTGGCTTCTTCCCACAGCCTTCTTTTCATCCTCCCTTTCTGCTCTAGTGAGATCATTACTGCTTATATATTTCCTGAAACCTTCACTGTCTATAAAGAGTATATAACTCTTTATATTTTAAACATACTTTTCTTCTCTTCCGGGGTTGTTAATGACACCAGTAATGGCCTAGTGTTACCTTGTTTGCTGACTCTTCCCAGTCTCCCAGTCTAATACATTTTATACTGTCGTTATCTCCGACATCACATTTGTTGAGGATACTGTTTACAGCCTTTGTATCATGGATACTCTCTCATCGCGTATATTAGTGTCCTTCTCCTCTACACCATAAATTACAATATTGCATTCTCGTGATTTCCTCTCATTGATTTCAGTCGTGATTGTTTTAACGTTCTCTGGTTCTTTGGTATTTCCCTGTTGGAATTTAGGGTCTTTGGCTTTTTACTCTATGATGAGTTTGCTCTTCGTCTCCGCGTCACATTTACTGGAGATTTTTTTTTAGTAAAGAACTTATTTTCTCATATCGCCCTCTAACTTTCGGACACATTTCCTCAATCTACTAAATCATATCATTTCTGATATTAATCTTCACTAGTTGTTTGCAACTGGCGCAAAACCACATTGTGTCCGATTCTCGAAGAAATGCATATTCATTATTGAGATACTTTAAATGTGTTGTTCCATTGAAGTACTTATGATGTGCTGTTCCCATTGAAAATCTTCGGATTTGATGTTCCATTGACTTACTTGGGTTAAACTGTTCCATTGAGATACTTGGTATGTGCTGTTGCTTTTGGAATAATGAGGATGTGCTGTTACATTGCAATACTAGGGGTGTGCTGTTCCCATCGAAATACTATGGATGTGCTGTTCCCATTGACATGCTGGTGATGTGCTGTTTCCATAGAATAAGCTTGTTGTATCCTACTAAAAGAATCGCAGACTGTATTAAACTCTTCAATGGAAACAATTACTCAATTAAATTTACTAATCTAACTTACATGTATATACATTGGATGTGCAGTTCTCATTGAAGTGCTTGGAATTAGTCGTTCCATTGAATTATTTGGATGTGCTGTTCCCATTGAAATACAGGGGATGTGCTGTACCATTTAAGCACTTGGGATGTGCTGTTCCCATTGAAATGCTTTGTATGTGCTGTTCCATTGAAATGATTTGGATGTGCTATTCCATTGTTATTTTTTGGATGTACTATGACTATTGTAATACTAGGTTTATGCTGTTCCCGTTGACATACTGGTAATATCTGATCCCGTCGAACTACTGGAGCTCTGCTTTTCTATTGAAGTACTTGGGATGTGTTGTTCCTATTAAAATATTAGGGATATGCTTTTGCTATTGAAATACTTGGGATGTGTTGTTCCTATTGAAATTCATGGGATGTGCTGTTTCATTGAAATACTTGGGATGTGTTGTTTCTATTGAAATGCATGGGATGTACTGTTCCATTGAAATACTTTGGATGTGCTGTTCCATTGAAATGTTTAAGGGGAGACCGGGTTAAATTCGACCCATTTTTATTAAAGTCCGTTCTTCGAAGTATGGAAACACGTCCGTTTTTGAAGAAGTATTATACTTTTCCTGTCGGAGGATCGGATGGCCCAACGAGCTCTGTCATGGGGTAAGTTCGGAGAGGCATTCGGGTTAGTGCAGCCCCCGTTGTAATCAGCTAAATTATGACATCATAAAGCATGCAACGTCAGATTTGCCCGCCAATTTTACGTCGTTTTATATGTTGCATATGGACCAAACCTGTCCAGGCCCAAATTGATATTTTCAATAAATTCTTATACAGTTGTAGTACAGCAATATTTGTTTCTTGTGATAATGAGTGCTTGGCTTTTATGTATATCATTTGGAGCTTTCAGTGTGTTGCACGTTTGACCGAAAAAATGTAGCAATTCCATTTACAGAAAGTAAATTTTGTACAGAAAGTTCGCATAACTAGAAAAAAATGAGATCATGATTTTCTTTCGATCCTCTCAAAAGTAACTTTCTCCTGTTTAGTAATTTTACATTAAAGTTTTCCTCGCCATTTTGTCGTGTGAATGCCCAGCCATCTAAACTGCTAAGATCCTTACAGTTATAAATATTAGCTCAAACAAAAATATCAGGAGTAGCCGAATTTGTATGTAGATTTTTTGTATCAAAGATGGTTGGTGAAAACATAGTCACAATATAATTCTTGCATCAATGACACTACTTTCATCCAGTCAAAGCTAAAGTAGACATGGGCTCTTGTGCGTATCTTATATGGTGGGTCGGGTGATGCAGTTGATAGCGCGCTCGTCTGCACCAAGATGGCCGGATTCGATCCCGGACACCTGCCCGACCACGCGGGTTTTCTCAGGATACTCTCGTTCCCCCCAACATTGATAATTAATTATTAATTAACTCTGCGTTCTTCCACCAGGGCACAAAAAGAATGATTGAGATAAGTTGGGGAAAAATTGTTTGGTAATTACTATAGATACAAAATCATATTACATGTTTGACGATTAATGTAAGTAGAGGTATAAACATATAAGTTAACAAAAATAAATAAAAAATACTTAGTAATATTTTGATGTAACTGAGATTGTCGTTATATCGATATGTAGTCTCAATTCCTGTTCCTCCTGAAACACTGGGTTGAATTTTAAATTTTGTAACAGACACCGAGAAATTAAACAGTTTCTGTCTGTAACTAGTTATAAATCGGCACGCGTTATGAAAAAGTAATACGTTGCTGAAAAAGAGCGTTGAAATCGGGTTGGTTGTCTGTACGATCAATGTGGATTTCGACATAAATGCATTATCAATTGTTTCTTTTATGAGTGGTGATGCATAAATAAATTATGTAAAGACTATAACAAGACTTTAAAAAACGTAAATTATTTTGTTCATTTTCTCAACAAATCGAAATCTAAAGCTGATGAACATTTTAGACGATGAAAAAATTAATGTACACGTAGACCTACTGGTTTAACGCCGGCTCTTTTTGAAGATATCTCCCGGTAAAAAAATTAACAGAACCTGGTTGATAACAAATAGGACCTTAAGAAAATTTCCGCATTTTCACTTTTTGTGCCAGTGGCAAATACAGAAATAAAAAAAAGTTTTGAAGCACTGACAAAGAGATAAATGCCTCGGACATCAGTTCCAAGATTTTCCGGTTATTTTTCATCCTTCCGGAAATAAAGGATGAAGGCCGAACGTGACGTCATATTATGATAATCTCTTAACGAAGTTTCATGCATGTTATGTGACGGACTTTTTTTACTCAGAATGTAGTTTTTATCTTAATAAAAAAATGTAATAATAACATAAAAACTGTTTTAACTATATGTAGATATTCATGTATGTGTTAAAACACAATTGTCTTTGCTTCAAGGATACAGCGTTTTCCCCACTGGACGGCTACTTCCGGACGAAAAATTTAAGGTCGACGTGTAGGAATGTGGTACATTGCACCTCTGTTATTTTAATTCAGCTTTTTTGTTTTCGTATTTTTTGTTCCGAATTGAAAAAAGCGAGTTTCCGAAGGCTCTATAGTACAATACACGAAGGATGATTACTTGCTCCGATTCCCTGCCCTGTATTTCGCTTGTATTGAAGAAAATGCGGAGTCAACCATGTAAAAAGTGTTTATAATTATATATATTGAAGTGAAAGCATTTGGTTATTTAGGATATTCTCTTTTTTTTTTTTTGCATTTAATTGAAAACGAAAGTAGATCAGTATACCTGTTTATTACCAAATATAAGTATTACACTTGTATTTAGTATCACAGATAAATATTTCATTTGTATTTATCATCAGAGACAGGTATTACACCTGTATTTAGTATCACAGACAGGTATTCCACTTGTATTTAATATCACAGACAGGTATAACACTTGTATTAAATATCACAGACAGATATTACAGCATCATTGAGGATGGTATTACGGCGCGTCGATTTACCCAATATAACCCAATACTACCCAATACAAGTGTCGATTTACCCAATACAACCAATACAACCCAATACAAGTATCGATTTACCCAATACTTCAAATATAAAGTTAAATGTACCCAATACAAATAACGATGTCGTGCGGACCGGGGTATTTTTTGGCAAGATCGTCGTTATTTGGAACTCCTTGATTCGATCTATTTCATTTCAAAATATTTCATTGTTAATACAATCAAAGATTAATACAATTATTGTAGAAGAAATATAACAAGACATGTATTAAGAAAGGGACCAGACAACAGGCCATGTTAGTCTTTTCCTATAGATACTGGTTTCCAATCATTTTTATTTTGAAGTTATTGGTGGAAGTTTATTTTATATTGTTAGAACTTGCATGTATAAAGATATTATTTATAAATTGAGAATTTTTTATTTTTTTTAAATTGGAACTAGTATGATTAAGTATATTTCTATTAGCTTCGTTAGACATTCCAACGACACCATGACAACATGAAGATTTACAAACTCTAATAGATTATACAGAGAGAAGATGTGATGCCTGAAATACCTATAAGAGGACATTCGAAGAAAAAGGGTATTGTTTTTTTCTATATTTTTCACCACATGAACAGGAACTCAAGCTATGTTTCATTCACGAATGGAACAGTAAACGAATAGATACACATTAGTGAAATGTTTTTCTTAACCTAGCCATATTTTTTAAAGTCTTAACCACAATATGTTGTACATATTAACAAGTAAACGATGTCTGGAAAGAGTGCTGGAATATTTCATTAGTGGTAGATAGTAGGACAATAACGGAAAAAACATAATTATACTCACTCACTTTCATATACTACCATTTGTAATTGTTATATGTTGTATTGTTAGAACTTACATATATAAAGACTTTACGTAAACATTCATTTTTTTAATAGGATCATTAACTATATTTCTGTTTGTTTCTAAACTAATGTATTGGAATACAGGAGATCGCGAGCAGCAACTAATCAAGTACCATAGTTATACCGGTATTTTGAAAATTTATGAAAATATATATGTGTGTGTGTAAATATTTGTATTCAAGTTTCGTTGTTCTTGTTTTTCTTTTATTTAGTTACCATTTTGATAAAACTTTAACCTTTCATTATTTCTGGGTAATTGAGTGTTCCATGTATGTAAAACGTAGGCTTATTTTGTCTCAATATTGAATGACTAATATTTCTATTAAGAACTACAAATAATTTAAAAACGAGGGTTATTTATCATCAAGATAACTGTGTAATTTTACTTTTTTCTTAACATGGAACAATCTGAACAAATTATATAATTACCAGTGATTTCTTTGGTAAAGACGATGGAAATCATAAAGTTACACATCTGTACACACCTGTTTCATTATACAACAATGTAGACAGCATCAGATCATCGCAGAAACAGGATTTGTAAATGGAATTTGAGAGATATACAAGACGAGTTCCATTTCATTTTGATTTGTCCATTTTATAGCGATTTGAGGCACAGATAAATTAAACTATACTATGACAAAAAAAATACTCAATTGTTAAATTAATACAACTACTTAGTATAAATAATGTTAGAGAGCTATCCAATTTAGGTAAATATTTATATTTGGCATTCAAGAGGCGTTAATTATAGGTTTATTTTGTCAAGCTCCATCCAAGGGAGCTTAAACAGCCAAATATCACAACTCTAGGCATTTAAGTTCTTCAAAATAAGGCTGAAGTTTTTGACATATTCGATCTCTGTGACTTTGAAAGTAGGTCAAGGTCTTTTTATGCGCATATTTACTATTTAGTAAGGCTCCAACAAAGGAGGCTAACAGCCAAATATCATGGTTTTAGGACTTTCATTTCTTCAGGAGTTATTTTTGTTACCTATTTGACCTGTCAACTTGTAAGTAAGTCGAGCTCACTCTTGTATTTCAACCAAATGTACTTTGAAGTATGCATCCTTAGACCTGGGAGTTTTAGATGATATACAAGAGGCCGAGAGGGCATGTATCACTCACCTTTGTATGAAATATTGAGGTTAAGACACTAGGCATCAACTCACATTGTACCTTCAGACCAGATGAATAAATAATAAAAGGTGTAGCCCAAACTTGCTACTGAAAAGCAAAGCTAACAATCATAGCTTTAATAGAACTATTGATGAAATGATTTTGCAATTAATTGCATTTACAAAATGAAGGTTAGTGATACATACCTTCTGAATGACTTGTTTTCATTGACAGTATATATTTGATGTCCCATATCTTTTGACGAGGAAAGTAAGATATTTAGTTATTTGGCATTCAAGAGGCGTTAATTATAGGTTTATATATTGTAGTGTTTCATAACTGTAATTGTTAATAAAGTAATGTTATATTCACATTATTGAACGTGTTCTATGTATACTGTGATGTCACTCTCCTGTCTATTCTAATTATGTTTAGATAATGTTATATGTATATATGTATGTACCTATAAGTCTAAGGGCTTTTGGTTAATAAAGAATGAATGAATGAAGGTAGGGATTAAGTCCACGTGTGATGTGATTGACAAGTATTTAGGTATGGCTTTGGCTACGTGTCATCTGAACCAGTTTCACACCTGACCATTGATTGACAGGTGATGTTGCTACAAATAACAATAACTTCTGTATTTCTTTGATTTCTTTCCGAATTATAGTAAATCATTCCCGCGAGAATTTACTTCATAAATAATGAAATTCATCTTTCTATATTTTATCCAATATCACAACGATAAACTATTGTATATCATGCCCGTGATAATTGATTTAATTACTTCATAAATGATGAAATATATCTTGCTATAATTTTTCCAATATAACAATGATAAATTTTATATTTGAATATCACAGATATTTAACATGTATTTATTATCACAGACAGGTATTTCACTTGTATTTAGAATCACATACAGGTATTTCACTTGTATTTAGTACCACAGACAGGTATTACACTTGTATTTGGTATCACAGACAGGTATTACACTTGTATTTAATATCACAGACAGGTATTACACATTTTTGTACTTCAACACAAATCTACTGTAGGCAATTTTACTTCGCTGTAATTCAATACACCTAGCAATTACATGCTAATGGCAGTTACAAGAACTTGTTTTATATCACTGTGTGTGTATATTCTGTACACTATTTGTATTTTTTTAAGGATTAAGTCCTGTTCATAGTCTGGTGAGGTAGATGAGATATAAATCAATGGGTCTTTAGATATAATGAGTGATTCAATGCTTCTTCACATTTAACTTATCTCAAAGCCAATTGAAGGTAAATATACCCTATATAAATTCAACAAAACAGAACATGTTTTAATTTACAATTAGTATAATTTTTATAATTTTGTTTATATTATCTAAAATATCAGTCTTGTGTAAATTTCACTCATTGTGTAGCATCATTAGCTAAGATAAATATCTGTTAAAAAGTTGCAACCTTAAAACATTATAAAATATAAACATATATTTCAAGCTGAAACTTTTGAAACAAAAATTCTGCACAAATTTGCTGACTTACTCATAGATGTATGCCAACTGGAAAGTTCACGGAAAAATAAACCACAGATTTAAATAGATATATATTTTGCTCGAACCCACGACCCTTGGCTCTCCAGCCACATGCTCTAATGCTGAGCTAAAAGGAAATTCCCTTCAGCTGACACTTGTAAGGCAACCTAATCAATGCCCATCTTTTACATATATATATTATATATATTGATTCCAAGTTCACAATAATGTAAATATTACTCTGTATTACTCTTGAAGTGAAAATAATGTGTATACCAATCCTAATATGTGTTCTCGGGCTTTTTGCCAGCTATTTTGGGAAAGGCCCCCTGAGCAGGAATTAGGAAAATATCACCGGCATTTGGCAAATATTGGGAAATTTCATCAATGTCCCCACTTGTACAGGTCTGGGAAAATACCAGAAATTTTGAAAAAATAAAACCTCCAATGTGAGTTGCAAAAAGTGTTCCTCTAACTGTTTTTCAATAATAATAATAATAATAATATACAACATTTGATATAGCGCCCTATCTATCTAACATAAGCCACTCTAAAGCGTTTTACAGTACATAGATATACAATTTTATACAGTCAATACAATTAGCATATATATATTAATCAATACAATATTGAGGAATTCGCAGGAGCTGCCTTATTAGGCTCTAACTACTAGTCCTATGCCACCTGGCTAATATCTCCATATGTGTGCATGTCTGTGTGTGTGCTGGAGATGTGTTGTGTTCTGTTTGTAGTGGGACCCATCTTCCAACGGTATCATTTATAGTGCCACCTCACTTGAATGCTACAGCACAGATACCGCAACACCTACCCCAGACCATTTTATACTCCACCTGGGTTGTTGGAGTTGTGTGGGCAGGAGAAAAACACTTTCTCTAATATTCCATGCGTACGGCGACTTCGGGTATCGAACCCCGGCCGCCTGCTTGGAAGGTCGGAGTGTTAACCACTCGACCAATCCGCTCACGGATTAACGGGGTAACAGCTAAGCTTGTGTCCCAACTGGACATGAAACTTGGTGTTGTAAGTGAAATAAGCCAGTACTCCAACTCTATATGCCCCTTCGTCGTTTAGAATTGAAACCCTAAATTATTGGTCCATTAGTAATATGCTCTATCTACTAAGTTAATGGAAATGTCCTTGAGCTAAGATATCAACAAGTGACCAGATGTGAAGTCACTCATACATGATGTTGTGTACACTAAAAATATATACAGGTTTTTTACAGCCTTTTATTACATGCTATAAGCTAGTGGGTAGTGTTATAACACCATCATTTCTGTGATATAACATGTTACACTTGTAACAACAACCATTGTGACTTTACTAGGAACAATGGGTACATAACAAATGTATAGCAATAAATAAACACATCAGTTTTCATTGTGTTTGTTTATTCAATATCAATATTTTGTTATTAATGTATTTTGAATGTTCCTTCATGGACGTTGCCCAAATAATGACTGGAAACTTGTATGAACATTACTTTGAATCCAATTGGGAAAATAAAGACTGAAATTGGGAAAAAACAGGGTCATTTTTCAATTTGGAATGGGTCCCTGTACCAGACCTTATAAACACCTGGCAAAAACCTTGGTTCTATATATACGTACTCTGTATATCAACTTTTACATAGATAACAAGAGGCCTGAAAAGTTTATCTGATGTTTTTTATTTCAGTTTAAAACCTGAAAAATATCATACTCATAATATCAAGTGTATGGTTTCTTCAAAAGAAGTCGTATGAAGTCCATCCAAGGGAGCTTAAACAGCCAAATATAACAACTCTAGGCATTTAAGTTCTTCATAATAAGGCTGAAGTTTTTGACATATTCGACCTCTGTGACTTTGAAAATACGTCAAGGTCTTTTTATGCGCATATTTACTATTTAGTAAGGCTCCAACAAAGGAGGCTAACAGCCAAATATCATGGTTTTAGGACTTTCATTTCTTCAGGAGTTATTTTTGTTACCTATTTGACCTGTCAACTTGTAAGTAAGTCGAGCTCACTCTTGTATTTCAACCAAATGTACTTCGATGTATGCATCCTTAGACCTGGGAGTTTTAGATGATATACAAGAGGCCGAGAGGGCCTGTATCACTCACCTTTGTATGAAATATTGAGGTTAAGACACTAGGCATCAACTCACATTGTACCTTCAGACCAGATGAATAAATAATAAAAGGTGTAGCCCAAACTTGCTACTGAGAAGCAAAGCTAACAATCATAGCTTTAATAGAGCTATTGATGAAATGATTTTGCAATTTATTGCATTTTCAAAATGAAGGTTAGTAATACATACCTTCTGAATGACTTGTTTTCATTGACAGTATATATTATATATCCCATATCTTTTGACGAGGAAAGAAATAATGTTATGACTAAGATATTTAGTTATTTGGCATTCAAGAGAATTATAGGTTTATGTATTGTAGTGTTTCATAACTGTAAGGTCTCCAAGAAAGCTGGGTCCACGTCCCGAGGCTGGGTACATTGGTGCTCAGTGCGTATGTGATCATTTCGGGGGGGGGGGGGGGGGGATTGTCGCCGGCTGGGCGTCAACGTAGCAGAAGGCTTTCACATTAGCTCCAATTTGAGCCAACCTGTTTGCCGTGGGTTGCGTCTCGTATTCCTGGGGGAAGAAGATCCTGGCGGTTGAGCAGGGGTCGGAATCACTGCTGAACTCTGGATTGGAGGGAGACATGATCCGACTTTCTGCAACACACTACTTTGGCTTCGGTTCTGGGTAGTCGAGAGGTGGTATTGGCTCTCTATCACCAATCGGCTGGTCACGCCGAGCCGTTGGTTTACATACTTATAAGAAGGCGATGGCTTAGGGTCAATCGCGAGAGTATGCTCTTCCGGGTAATATATATACTCGTTATGTATACTTATACGAGTATACTACTTTGTGTATCCCTGACACTTTGGCGCTGGATATCCGCGCTGATATTAGTGTCCCCTCGTTGGGCTCCGGGGCGAGCGGGGACACAGACAGTGAACTAAATAATAAACATACATGGGTAATGAAAAAAACACAGAAAAACACCCTACAACTACCACATTCCCACAATTCATCATCATGTCGTCAACCACTAGTTGAAAAACTGCAGCAACATTGTCTCCTCTTCTGTTGAGGAAGGGTATAAAAGGAATAGCTGGGGACGTCAAGTCCGTCAAACCGTTAGGATATGGCGATCTCCTAATCGAAGTTTTTCGCAAACAACAGGCGATTAACCTACTGGGTACCACCAGTTTTGGAGGTATCAGTGTTATAGTGAAAGCACATCCATCACTAAACAGCAGCAAGGGGGTAATCAGATGCCCCGCCCTGCGTAATGACGCTGATGCCGCCATACTGGAGTACTTCCAGGAGGAGGAGATCCCAGTCTCTGAGGTGCGACGGATTTTGTCCAAGAAGAACAACAAGTTGGTTCCAACAGACACATTTGTACTGACCTTTGCTACCCCATCACTACCTTCGGCCGTAGTGATTGGTTACCAAAGGTGCAGTGTCTCCGTCTACATCCCTAATCCATTAAGATGCCGTAACTGCCAGAAGTACGGACATCATGAAAAAAGATGTAGGCGGAAGACCGTTTGCCAGTACTGTGGTCGTGAAGGTCATGAGGACCAAAGCGACTGTGATATTGCCAACCTGCGTTGTGTTAATTGTGAGGGAAAGCATGCTGCTTCGTCTCGAGACTGTCCTGCCTGGAATCGCGAGAGAGAGATATTGCGGGTCAAATTTACCCGAAATGTCTCCTTCCCCGAGGCTAGGAGGATAGTGGAGAGCACGGACGTGGCTGCTCCCTCATATGCACAAGTGACGAAAGTCCGGTCGCCGGTTGACAGTGTCGCAGTCAAGGATGCTTCAGTTCAAGTATCTGCAGACATACCTGCCTGGGGCTCACAAGTCCCAGACATGTCTGGCCAAGATAACTTGAAAATCCTCACGGGAGACCCATCTCGTTTCACGTCTATACGAAAACCAACCAAAAACAACAAACAGTCAAAAGCAGCATCACCATCAAAACCAGCATCTTCATCAAAACCAGCATCTTCATCAAAACCTGCACCACAATCAAAACCAGCACCAC